AGTTCTTTTCCATCTGCCAATATGGCAAATATTACGTTTTAAATATATTGTGCATGATTCATATACATTCCCTGCTCACCTTCCTGATAGGCGAGGCCACTCTGACCAATCATTCAGTGATTCACAGACTTAGGTTTACTATATAGCTTTAAAATGTTAAAGAAATCATCTCATATTTTAAGGGGTAACAGATATCTAACCAGCCAGCCAGCCAGCTACCCACCTACCTACCCAGGTAGCCATCTATCCATATCATTCACATGTCCGTTTTTCCAGTAAATATCTATTAAATGCATTACTATGTACCAGAGGCTATGCTAGTGTAAGATATACAATCATAAATATATTAAGACATCACGGTTTTGTAGGAGGAAAGGACTTGTATGTAAATGTAACACAGAGTGATAAGTGCAATATTAGATATATCCAATACAGAGAAGTAGTAAAGTGAAGGAATTAATTCATTATTGAAGAATGGGGGATATGGAAGACTTAGTTGAGAACATGATTCCTGAGCTGAGTTTTAAAAGTAAACAGGAGCTGGTAATGTAGTCAAGGAATGTATAGCCATCCAGGATGAAAGGAACAGAGCCTTTAAAATGTATCTAAGCTAATTTGAATTTTTAAAAACTTTTAAATAAGAAAGTTATACCTTGTGATGAATAATATTAATATTTATTGATGCATTCATTGACATTTGGCTAACTCTGAATAATAATTTTAGCATTAGTTTTATGTAATATTATCAAAATCGAAGACAATGATTATTGTTTTAACTCGAATATTAGCATCCCTTTCTATACTTCATTCTGAAAATATTGATTTTTAAAACCTTGTTGCTTGGTATAGCTGAGCCACAAATTCCTTCCTGGACTCTTCTCTTAATACTATGTCCATTCTCTGACTTAAGGTGAGAATCAGTTCTTCTAAATGGCTTATAATTAGTGCTTAGCCTCAGCTCTGTCCTCCTTTTCTGAATAAGGCCTAGGGGTTAAACTTGTTTTCTCTCTCCCATTTCAAGACCTTGGCAAAGCCTGGTTGTTCATGGTCCTCGGGAGGGACATTGCCAGGAAATGGGCTCTTCTTTAATGCCCAGGACAGTGCTGTGCTGTGCAAATAGCCACTACAGGAGATAATACCAGCTGCCTTGCTAATAACACTGAACTCTGAGGATTCTGCAAGACTTCTCCAGGATAAAGCAACAGTATTTTATGATAGGGGTGACTTTTTGCTTTAATTGCATAACACATTGGATCTATCTTGTTTGGGGCCAGGGTTAGCTGAAATAAAGCTGGGGAGTCACATACATAACGGGGCTGATTTGTGCTCTCTATGTGCAAACTCTGAGCACTACCTAATGGAAGATAATAGTGTCTTAATGACTGAGCTTCAGAATGTGGTACAAAATCGTTCATGGACAGAAATCTCAAAAAGATCAGTTAAAATGTTATGGCCATGAAGACATGGGACATGAAGTGGTGTTAATGGAAGGAAATCAGAAATGTATTGAGCTAAAGAGAATTAAGGTCAGTTATCTTTAAGCTGCACTCAGAAGTTGAAGTTGAAGTAGGAGGGAAGAGAAAATGTTGTTTTCTATAGTTGGAAGTCATAAAAGGAGAGGTAATGGTCTAGAATTAGGCACATTCAGGTAAGGCAAGAAGTAATCATTGAGCAGGAAGGTACCTGAGTCATCCTAATTAGAACTGCTTAAAAATAGGACAGGTAAAATACTGATGGGATTAACCTTTATAATCATGCTCCAGAGAGGAGGATGGAATTAACCCCAAGACAAGTTCCAGTGCAGACTTTTCCTTGAAGACCTACCTCCAGGTTGCAACCTCCCTGGTTTGTGTTTTTTTCCCCATTTTTGTTCTCTGCTTATATCTCTGATTTTTCTATGGCATTTTTTTCTTTCTAAAGCTTGGGGAACCCAACTTTCCACACCAAAATATACCCCCCTTGTCTTTTCAGATTTATCTAATAAATCATTTCTTTTAAAAATCATCCCTAATTGTTCTAGAATTCTCTGTAGCTTGAAGCTATTGCAGTAAGTCCAAATTAATTCTACCTCTAAGTATCTGTGTTAATGGGTAATTTATCCAAATTGGAGAGCAGTTAGTACATTCATGATGCCATCATCATGAATTTACGGACCTAGTATCCTTACAGGAAGAAAAATACATAGAATCACAGCCACAGTGGTCTTGAATTCAAAATAAAAAGCTTTGAAGTGTGTGACTGAGATTATGTGATGAATCAGGTATGAGAATATATATTAATTTGTATAACTATACTTCTGAAAACACATGGAAGGCAAATTGCTGTCAGTGGATGCAAAGAAGCAAATGACATAATCTCGTTGTCAATTGCTATAAAAATGACAGCATCAGTCAGTTCTTTTCCACTGGTTGGAATGGCACCAATTTTGAGTTTCTTCCTTTTCTTTGAGCATAGGCTTTTCTTTTTGACTATCGGAAACTTTCTAAGAGAGAATAAATATACTGGGCCTAGGAGAAGAAAAACAAATTGTTGATAGCTATGAACGAATGGCTTATTTTCAACCAAAGCCTCAAATGAGATTTATAATATATTCTAATTAATTTTTGTTTCTCCCTATAGCAAAGTAATCCAAAATGGATTCACTTTGTGTTCATGTTCTTTCTCTCTTTGAGTGTCAGTGATATATACTCAAATTAGTGATCATGACAATGGTACAAATCATTTTCATTTGTCAGAACTTTTTCATTAGAGTCTCTTTGTAATCCCTCTCTCCCTTGTTACAGTAAAATTCCTTGTAACATTATGAATGTGCTTGTGTGTGTGTATATGTGTGTATGCGTATCTTGGCACAAACACACATACCACACAACACCAAGAACCACCCCCCTCATACACCTGATCCATCATTCTACTTTCAATGTTTGTGACTGTTGCCTTTCAATGTTTGTGACTGTTGACTTCCACTTTATGGGTCCAAAAAATTTTAAGTAACTCAAAAGTGTTTTTGAATCATATTTTTCTTTCTTTCCTTCTGTTATCAGAAACAAATATGGGGTTTGCAATTAACCTACATTTTGAGGTTTTTTTAAATGTAGTACTTGTGGAAATCAATGCCTGTTTATAATTTGGTATATTTGTGTGGATTCATCAAATGTTTATGGAGTGCCTACTTTGTGACAAGCGCTGTACTGGGTACTGGGGAGGCAGCGGTGAATTTGTCAGATAAGGTTCCTGCCCTCATGGAGGTTACAATCTGGTGAAATGAGATTAATTACAATTTTCATGAGCACTCTAAAGTAAATAAACAACATGCTATGAAGCTGTACAGGCATGTTTAACCTTTCCTAGTCTAGGTTACTCAAGGAAGTCACAAGACCTGATGTGCGTAGGAGTGAACCAAGCATAAAAGATGGGCCAAAATCATTTCAAAAGACAGGCATGCCGGTAAAAGGGCCTTTAGGTATCAAGAATTATGACTGGAGCAGAGTGAATTGAGGATGAGCAGTGAGTGAAAGGAAGCTGAAGATAGAAGTGGGGCCTGCCAGGATTGACTGGAAGCTGGATTAGGGATTTGGATCTTCTTTTTTTCCCTAAAGGGAATAGGAAGCCATCAAGCAAATTTCAGTAGAGGAAGGAGGTATTTAAACCACACTCTGAAAAATGTTGTTTCATGTACTCCATGAAGAATAGATTGGGGTGCCTGGGTGGCTTAGTCAGCTGATCATTTAACTCTTGATTTTGGCTCTTGCAGTTTGTGAGATTCAGCCCTGCATTCGGCTCTGGGCTGACAGCGCTGAGCCTGCCTGGGATTCTCTCTCTCTCCCTCTCTCTCTGCCCCTCTCTGCTCTCTCTCTTTCTTTCTCTCTCTCTTTCAAATAAATTAATAAATATAAAAAAAGAATCAGTTGTAGGGGCCAAGAGGAGACCATTAGATCAGACAGCCTCTGTAGTTGAGATGCTTATGTGTGAATCTGCAATTTGTTGACTATTATTTTAGGAAAGTGTATTACCCTTTCTAACCTTTGGTGTTGTCATATATATAATGGATGTAATAATAATACCTGAATTACTAGTGTTGCTGTGGGAAGTAAGATAATGAATATAAGGCTTTTACCATTGCCTCTCCTCCATACTATTTACTACAATAAACTAAGTGGTGACTGTAACTAGGGGGATGGCAGTAAGAATGAAGAGCAGAAGGTTTAAAATTCCTGGGGTGCCTGGGCGGCTCAGTCAATTGAGTGTCCAACTCAAGTCATGATCTCATGATTTGTGATTGAGCCCTACACTGAGATCCTCTATCTCCCCCCCTCTCTGCCCTTCTCCCACTCACATTCATTTCTCTCTCCCTCCCTCCCTCCCTCCCTCTCTCTCTCTCTCTCGCCCTCATAAAATAAATAAACTTAAAAAAAAGAAAGTTTAAAATTCTTAGAAGACATTATCCATAGGACTTGGTAATTAGCTAGACATAGGGGTGGAGGGATATGAAGGACTCAAGCGAACTACAGAATGCTCATTTAAATTTAAATTTTAAATAATCATTTTTTAATATAAGCACATGTCACATAGTTTTACTAAAAAGACTCATTGTTTATCAGAAATTTAAATTTAAACTGGCCATCTTCTATTTTTATCTGGATCTCTTCCCAAAGATGTCTCCGGGTTGTAGGCTGAGCAGCTGAATAAATGGTGGTACTATTTGTGGGAATGGAGATATTACAGGAGAACTAGTTTTTAGTGGAAAGATCATGAAGTAGATTTTACATGCACCAAATTTTCGTTGCCTGGGAGACACCCAGGTACAATGCAAATTATTTACTCAGCCTTTCTTTGGTTGTAACTGATAACACTCGTTAAGAGCAGCTATAACCACATTTGTACTGGGAGTCGGGAAGTGCCACAATAGTGCTCTGGGTTTTGGTGTAATCAAAACACTGTCTTTTAAAGAAAAAGACTGGGTAGGAGCTATATATAAAAACTTTTCATTTCTTTATCTCCAGGTTTTTATATTTCTCCAGGCAATGCCACTGGCTGCCTGCCATGTTCATGCCATCTAACAGGTGCAGTTCATCACATCTGCAGTAGCCGAACTGGTCAATGCACTTGCCAAGATGCTTCTGTTGCTGGGCAAAGTTGTGACCATTGTAGAGACCGTTACTTTGGATTCGATCCTCAGACTGGAAGGTAAATGTTTTTAATAATTAATATTTAAGTATTTGTGTTGAATAATATTTATAGTAATTTTTCTCCTGATAGTGATTTTTGTCAGTATTTTTTGTAAAAAGCAATGTTTTTAGTTTTCCAGGTTTGTTGATATACTTTTGACTCTTTGATGCCTGTGTTTGTTGAACATAATAGTAGTCTTTGAATATTTCCTAGAGTTCCAATATGTAGTTGGCTATATGCTGACAGACGTCCCTAGTGTTAAGATCTGGGAATATTTAGTTAAAATCCTTTTCCCTCAAAGAACTTATAATTTAGATGGAGAAAACAGGTAAAGGGATATCCATAGAAATAAATGTGCGTGCATGTACAGACACACACACACACACACACACACACACACACACACAATACAGGCCAACATATATAGTATATGTATGTTTATCCCTTGTTCTACATGGACCCTGGATTTATTGCTAATTTATTTACATACTTGCTTCATCTACTTCTGGTTTTCCTGCTTTTCTAATTTAGGTTAAAGACCAGATTGGAAACATATTTTTGTACTAAGTGATATGATTTTTTCCCCAGTGTGTAAAGTACATTTCAAAAGTAAATTAACCACTTTTCAAAGTTGCCTGGTCTTTAATGTTCTACTTCTCATTCCTGGTATACTGGTGAGCATTGATGTTCATACATTTGTGCTCATTGCTGTACATTTGAAAATGTGCTGGAATGCCAGTTCCACGTGTGTCTTTCAGTCTGGTCAGATTATAAGTTTGTGTCCCTCCATTTGGGACTATATCCTTGAATTCTTTGGCATTTCTATCATCAAGCAAATAGTATTATGTTCTGTACATACAGATCAGAGCTGTTTCTCAATGTGTGTGTGTGTGTGTGTGTGTGTGTGTTTATAAATATAATTGCTAATTAGTCAAGGGTTTGAGATTATCTGGGCTCTTTTCAACTCATTGCCCCCTGCTGCCTGCCTTTTGGCTGTTACACTCTTCATTAACACCTCGATTAGAGTGTGGACAGGGTGACAGGCTAAATTATTGAAAAAGAACTCAAATCTAGTGCATTTGGCTTTCTACTGAAATTCAATGGGATTAAAAATCTTTAACATGATATTTAAGGTATTTATCAAAATAATTCTTATTCTTATTACACATATCTCAATTTTTTTTAAATTCATGGTGTTCCACTTCTGTTGCCATTGGAAGGAATATCATCTTGGTGGCCTGAGAGCATTAGTACTATTTTCTACAAATACTAAATCACTCTGAATGAGCATAGAAAGTACATGGTACAGTGAACATTAAACCAAAAGTACTGTCAGGATTTTGATAGTAAAATTGGAGCCATTTGTGGCACATACTATCTCCTTTACAGACTTTTTATTGAAAGACCATCTCACATGTTCCCCAGGTGGAATTCTCACGTGGGTTTGTTTCACTCCTGGACACCTCTGTCTGTTGGTTTCTTATATTTTTTATAGTCTTTCTGGCAACAATTAATTCCCAAAGAAAAACACCTTCCCTAATCTACTCTCCTCCTCGGAATGTTCATGCATCTGTGTCGATTTGTGCCAGGCTTACCTACTTACCCTCTACTCATATTCCTTGCTATTCTTCCCAGTATTACTACGTTATTAGTGTCCAGGAGGTTTCTAATGGTCTCAGCTTTTTCCCTTAGCTTTATTTAAGTGAATCTTTATTCCCTCATTATACGACTCATCTGCTCTTCAGTGTTCTTAGATTCAGGCAGACCTTTACTCTATGCTGCTTCCCTCTAGTTTATCTACCCATCCCACACCCCATCCCAGTTGAATTCAGGATTAAGAATTACTTACAGAATAGTGTGCTCTCTGTAAGTAATCTATCATCTGTCATCTATCACTTTGCAGTAAGAATCACTTACACTGGAGTTGAACTCCCTGGATTGAAAGCTGTTAAAAAAAAATTTGTTTGTTTATCTGTTTGTTTATTTATTTATTTATTTATTTATTTATTTATTGAGGGTGGGAGAGAGAGGGAGAGGGAAGCAGGGAGCATAGAGCAGGGAAAAGGCAGAGAGAGGGGGAGCGAGAGTCCCAAACAGGCGACACACTTAGCATGGAGCCTGATGGGGGGCTGGATCCCATGAACCATGCGTTCGTGACCTGAGCTAAAATCAAGAATTGGACGCTTAACTGACTGAGCCCCCGAGGTGTTTTAGCCCCCTAAATGTTGTGTTTAAATGTAAACCAAAAATTGATGAGAAACAGGAAGAGCCAAGAAAAAATAGGTATAAGCTACATTATTATAAGGTACTGAGATTAAAATCAAGAAGGCAGAGCTCAGTAAAATAAAAGCGATCAGCGAAGGTTGCAGTCTCAGAGGGAGCCAGAGTGTGAAAAGGTGGGCAGATTCTAAAGAACAAAAGATCCAGGGTAATTATGGGAATTAGAGGTTCAAAGTGAAAAGATTCATGACACATTTTATATAAATATAATTGTATACCTTTACCTATTAACTGACTGGTAATTATATCGAGTCAGATTCCAAGATGCCTTTCAAAAACTACAAATTGTCCTCTGAAGTGGTACCACTTTGCCTCCGTCCTCATTGTTTTTGTCTTCAGACTTCCGTGTTTCCATTCATTGTGAACTTTCTCCAAGGGATGGCATTTCCCTCCTGCTTCTCATTCATTCAGTTCCCATCCCAATAACCAATTTTCATATTTTCATGAGCACAACCAGGATTTCTTTTTCTCCTTCCTTCCTTCCTTCCTTCCTTCCTTCCTTCCTTCCTTCCTTCCTTCCTTCCTCTCTTTCTCTCTTTCTTTCTCTCTCTCTTTCTCTCTCTCTCTCTTTCTCTCTTTCTCTCTTTTTTCTTGGAACTTCCCTACTTCTCATATCTTCCTAATTGCAGAAATGTTACTCTGCGAACACATCACATCTTCCCCAATCCTCTCGTCTCCAAATTCCCTCATAATTGGCTCCTACCTTTCCTCAAACTCATGTTTGATACCCCTACCTAATTCTTTTGGTTAGGCCCCTTTCCTAACTTTTTCACCTTCTACTCCCAGTAGGGAGCAAATGCCGACCCTCCCCAGTAACTTCCGTGCTATTAAGAAGAGCTTTCTTTCTGTTGTAAGTGGGTCAGTTCCAGGGATGATGACTCTGCTCCTGCCCTGAACCTAAGAGGACCTGAAGACCATGTGCCTGTGCTGATTGAAACTGCTGTGATGCGTTTCCTTCTCATTCCCTCACTTTCTACATATAAGTGATACCATACAATATTTGTTTTTCTCTGGCTGGCTTATTCCATTTAGCGTAATGTCATTTAGTTTCATCCATGTTGCTGTAAGTGGCAGGATTTTCTTCTTTCACATGGCTGAATAATATTCCAGTGTGTGTATGTGTATCGCATTTTTTTCTGTTCACCTTTTGATGGACATTTAGTTTGTTTCCGTATCTTGCCTTTTGTGACTAATCCTGCAGTGAACATGTGGGTGCAGATCTCTCTTCAAGATGCTGATTTTATTTACTTTGATATATACCTAGAAGTGGAATCTTATGGTAAAGTTTTCTTTTTAATTTGTTGAGGAATGTCTATACTCTTTGCCATAATCACTGTACCAATTTACATTCCCACCAGGAATATACATCGGTTCCCCTTTCTCCACGCCCTCACCAATAACTGTTATCTTTTGTCTTTTTGTCTTTTTGACAATAGCTATCATAACAGGTGTAAGGTGATATCTCATGGTGGTTTTGATTTGCATTTTCCTGATGACTAATGATGTTGAGCACCTTTTCATGTAGCTGTTGGTTATTTGTATGTCTCCTTTGAAAAACTGTCTATTTTGTTTTCCTGTTTATTGAAAAATTTATTTTAATGTTTATTTATCTTAGAGAGAGAGAGAGACAGATCATGAGCAGGGGAGGGGCAAAGAGAGGGAGATATAGAATTCGAAGCAGGCTCCAAGCTCTGAGCTGTCAGCACAGAGTTTGAGGCTTGAGCTTGAACTTGAACTCACTATTGTGAGGCTTGAACCCACAAACCACGATAATCATGACCTGAGCCAAAGCCAGACACTTAACAGTCTGAGCCACCCAAGTGCCCCTCATTTGCTCATTTTTTGAGGTTCCCTTCCTTTTCCTTTTCTCTTTCCTCTTCCTCCCTCTCACCCTCCCTCCCTTCTTTCTTCCATTGAATTTTATGAGTTTCTTATATATTTTAGATATTAATTCCTTAGCAGATGGTTTCTCCCATTTTCTCCGATTATATAAGTTGCCTTTTCCTTCTGTTAGTTGTTTCTTTTGATGTGCATAGCTTTTTAGTTTGATGCAATTCCATTTGTCTATTTTTGCTCTTGTTTCCTGTGCTTTTGATGTCATATCCAAACAATCATTGCCCAGACCAACGTCAAGTAGCTTTTACCAGTATTTTCTTCTACTAGATTTACAACTTCCAAACTTACGTTTATCTTTAATACATTTCGGGCTGTTTTCTGTATATAGTATAAGGGTCTAATTTCATTCTTCTGAATATGAATATCCAGTTTTCACAACACCATTTTTGGAAGAAATTACCCTGTCCCCATTTTGTGTGCATGGTACCTTTACCAAAGATCAGTTGATCACATATATATGTAGATTTATATCTCAGCTTTCTCTTTTGTTTCATTGGTCTATATCTCTGTTTATGTCAGTACCATAGTGTTTTGATTAGTTTAGCCTTATAATATATTTTGAAATCAGCAAGTGTGATGCCTCCAGTTTTGTTCTTGTTGAACATGTGCTTTATGAGTTAAAGTAATTATAACACTTTCTATTGCCTAAGAAAGACCAGAAAAGCCAGGTATCTGACTCAACTTTGTATCCAAGTGGAAGACAGGAGAATTAGTCCCATGCAGTATATTCAAAAGATCAGGGAAAGATGAGAGTAAAGTTGATTTATGATTGCTTCTTATGACTCATGGTTTTTTGATATGCCAATTATTTTACTGTCCTCCCTATTTTTTAAAATTATCTC